AGGGAACTGGGAGCACTGGGAGCCGGCCCTACTTCGAGATGAAGGCACAGCTCAACCTCCGGCTCGAGGTACTGGGAGCACTGGGAGCAACTGGGAGGGAGTGGGAGGGAGTGGGAGAGGGATTTGGATCAGTTTCGGGCACTGGGAATGGGATTGAAGGGAACTGGGAGCACTGGGAGCACTGGGAGAACTGGGAGCACTGGCAGCCGGCCCTACTTCGAGATGAAGGCACAGCTCAGCCTCAGGCTCGAGGTACTGGGAGCACTGGGAGGGACTGGGAGAAGGATTGGGATCGGTTTGGAGCACTGGGAATGGGATTTGAGTGGATACTGGGAGCACTGGGATCAGTTTGGGGCACTGGGAATGGCATTAGAGGGAACTGGGAGCACTGGGAGCCGGCCCTACTTCGAGATGAAGGCACAGCTCAACCTCAGACTGGAGGTACTGGGAGGGACTGGGAGGGACTGGGAGGGACTGGGAGGGACACTGGGATCAGTTTCGGGCACTGGGAGTGGGATTAGAGGGAACTGGGAGCACTGGGAGGGACTGGGAATACTGGGAGAGGGTCACTGGGACCAGTTTGGGCACTGGGAATGGGATTAGAGTGGATACTGGGAGAACTGGGAGCACTGGGAATGGAATTAAAGGGAACTGGGAGCACTGGGAAAGAAAGATTTGAGAAAATCCTGGAGGGACTGGGAATACTGGGAGGGACTGGGAGCACTGGGAGGGACTGGGAGCACTGGGAGGGTAACTGGGAGCACTGGGAGGGACTGGGAATACTGGAAGAGGGTCACTGGGACCAGTTTGGGCACTGGGAATGGGATTAGAGGGAACTGGGAGCACTGGGAGCACTGGGAGAGAAGGATTTGAGAAAATCTTGGAAGTACTGGGAATACTGGGAGGGACTGGGAGGGTAACTGGGAGCACTGGGAATACTGGGAGAGGATCACTGGGACCAGTTTGGAGCACTGGGAATTTTTAGGAATTTTTTGGGGGGTGAGAGAAATAAACACAAAATTTTATTTTTTTTTAAAATCGATTTTTACCCAAATTTTCGCCAAATTTTCACCGATTTTCACCCGGATTTTTTTAGGAAATTCCACGAAATTTCGGGAATTTTTTTCCCCGAATCCCAAATTTTTTTTTTTTTTTTTTTTTTTTTTTTCCCCAAGGAACACAAATCCCGGGTGAATTCCCTGGAATCGGCCGTGGCTCAGGCCAAGCTCCGTTATTCCGTTGCCCTTCGGAACCTGGAGCAGATCAGCGAGGAAATCCACGCCCGCAGATTCCAGAGAATCCTCCGGAAAAAAAAAACCCGGGAAAACCCCCTGGGGGCTGAGGAGGGGGGTGGTGGAACCCCCAAAAACGAAATTCCCGGAGAAATTCCCGGAATTCCGGCAGAAATTTCCGGAATTCCCGGTGAAGTTGCGGCGATTCCCGGCGGGACGGGCGGAGAAATTCCCAGAATTCC